TTGACTCAACCCATTTTTAACCGACTTCAAAAGGAGAAAGGTTATGAATTCGTCGGAATATTTTTTTTTTAATGTAATTTACCGGATAACTTTGAACCACGTGAACCGTTTTCGACAATTTTTTACCGGAAATGTGGTGCCTCAATGGTAGCTCTATGCTTATATGATTTAGTTCCGATCATTGGATCATGAAGAAATTAACGGTACTCCTAAATATTTATACATATATGAGAATTGGTGTCGGCAATGTTTTTGCTTAAAAATTACTTCTTTTAGATTATGACGTTCTTCCAATAAACGCTCCAAACGAGCGACATGTATGAACAAATACTTAAATTGTTGTTTTGTAATGACTCAATTAAAGTATTATTTTTCAAATATTGATTGGGTGTAGTAGACAACCAAATATACTATGTATAAACCGAAATTTATGCATTTGGATACTTAATTGATAACGAAAAATTATCAAATTAGGTACCTATGTATGTATTTATGTACACATGTATTACATTTACATGTATGCCTTTGGTTTTTATCTTCTTATTACATTACTTTTGTTTGGCTTATTTTTCCTAATTTCCTTTCATTCTATGTATACTGATGATGAAGTTGCCGGCAGTGCACAAGCGGATAACTCTGCATACAAAATATGAAGACATCTATGACTACTTGTGAGTGCAAATGCATTTTTGTTCACAAAACCATTTGTGTGCATGTATGTACTGTGCGTGCATGCATTCTTAATTTTAAATGCATTTTGCAGCGCAGCTAATATGTCGTCAGCTTCAACAGCGACTGCGACTCAGGCAGCGCTGTTAACGGCGACGTCAAATACAGCAATATTAATCTGGATCAGTGTTGCGACTCGCGAAAGTCAATTAAGGAGTAAATCACTTGTAAAATAGGAGTGAACACCACATTTATGCAGTAGATTTTATACGAAAATTTTATGCCTGGGCATGTAACTAGAAAAGCTCACAATGGATCCCTTTAATCGGGAAAAGTGCCAAGAGAATTCTATTTTGAAACTTTAAGCCATATGAAATTGGAAATCATTTAAGCATCTTGATACAAAAGCCAAACCCGAACCAATATAAGAATAATATGTCACGTATTTATGTGCACATATTAGGTAGTTCGAATATCCGCCTTTTTCCTAAACTTTGTTCGAGTGAATAAAAACCGGTTTCCAATTTGGAAATTAAGAACATATTTTTCACAGAGGACAAGATCTTTTGAAAAAAGGCGCAGATTTTAAAGCAAGCGAAGTAGATTTAAAGATTAAAAAAAAAACAAACTGGAGTAAATCTACTCCAATCGGAGTAAGGTCCGAACGCTGATCTGGAGGTTATGTTCCTCACTGAGTGTCTTTTTAGATGCAGCTAGCACACATCTGTTTTGTGCATTCACCCTGCAGTAAAATTTAGTGACAGTCTGACAAAGCGCTAGTTCCGAACTACACATCTCAGAACTATCTCTGAACTAGTGCAAAAGGAATGCAGAGCGGGACAGTTAAAACTTGCGGTGTAAATGTGCAGATGCTCACTACTCGTACAATATGAAAGTAGCTCGGCGAGAAGACTTCCGACTCAAGCCTCGTTGGCCGCGAGTTCAAATCGCGGTGGAGGCAGTTGTGAGTTTTCAAATTTAATGAATTTAAGCTGTTGCGTGCAGCTTACAATATTTTCTTTTTTTTTTTAATAAAATATGTAACAAAAACGGATTCTTTAATAGAAAAGAAAAAACGAAAAAAATGCCCAAAAATCGAATCGCAAAAACGTTTCCTTATAAAAAAAACTGTCCAAAATCGAACCGGTTAAAAACTGGTTACAAAGTAAGGCACTGGGCGACAATTGCCACCGCCAATGACATCGCCGTGTAAAACTGGACAGTTGAAAGCTGCTTGGGTATTGAGCTAGAATTGGCACTGTCGGCAAAATGTCTAGTTCTACGCTAGTTCTAGGCTAGTCAGATTTTCTGCAGGGTGTATATACTTATGTATGTATGTATGAATGTATCTATGTACGTACGTGCATATGTATGTAGGTGTGTTTGCTGCGCTTACTTCTGCTGTCGCAAAGTCAACGTCAATCCTTTGAGTGATCGCACAAGTGTATGAACAAATGAAAGCACTATTTTCGAGGGCGGTTAGCCGGCTGTCTGGGTAAATTTATTATAGTACCAACATGGCATGAATATGTACATACATATGTATGAACGTGCTAGGGATGTTGCGAATGTGGAATTTTAGACATCCGCAGATTCGAATGTCAAGTATTTTTAAGAAATATTTTGGGTGAATAAAAAAGGAAACATTAGTGATTTTTAATATTTTTTATTTTATTATTTAGTACTTGAATTTAAAAATTGGAACATTGTATTTAATAAAAAGTTATATTGCTGCCTTTTCGGGGTAGAACCTGTTTCTTAAAGGGTCGTAAATCAAACCTGCGCCACTAAATAACTACTCGGTCGAAGCGACCAACTGGAAAAACTTGAAACTTGACAAAATTGTAAATTCTTTTCGATTGACGCTGCACCAGTTGAGAGTACTTTCAGTTATATTTATTTTTTTGGAGTGATACTTCTTTAGTGGCGGTTGGTTGGTTGGGAGTAAATTGGCAAATTCAACGGAAATTGCACACGGAAATGGTGTAACGGAAATGGTTGGGGTTGCAACAAGTGCTCCTTGAGTGTATGCACATGGTATGAATTTAACAAAAACTTGCTAGTAAAAGGTTAAAGAATAACGCTTAGAAAAATACCAATACAAGAATGAAAGTAAATAGATAAAGAAAAAGATAAAGGCAAAGGCAAAAATAAAAAGAAAAACAAAGATTTGTAAAGACAAAGGAAAACCAAGATAAATTTAAACACTTCACTTAGTATATGTGGGCAAAGGTGAAGGGGAATATGTAGACGAAGAAAATGATAAAAAATAAAAGTAAAAGCAAAGATAATTATAAAGAAAAAGATGTGGATGAGGATATCGATAAAAGTAAAGATGAAGATAAAGGAAGAAAGATGAAACTAAAGGTAGTTATAGAGAAAAGGATATAGATGGAACCACAGGGACTTAATCAGTGAACTCTTTTTGGATTTTAGAGATTTTCGGGATTTATCGATATAACAACCGATATTTTTATCGCTTTTGTTATAGATATTTTTATCGACTTTGTTATCGAAATTCTTCTCGATATTGTTGACAATTTTGCTATCGATATCTTCGGAACATAGCGACATAAAAATCGATAGTTTTATTCATTCTGTTATCGATATTTTTATCGATTTTGTAATCGATATCTTTAACGATTTTGTTATCGATATTCTTTATCCATACTGTTATTGGTTTTGTTATCGATATCTTTTTTATCGAATTTGTTACCGGCATTTTTATTGATTATGTTATCGATACTGTTATCAATTATTTATCAATTTTGTTATCGATTATTTATCGGTTTGTTATCGATACTTTTATCGATATTGCAATTTATGTAATTTTAAAAAGTTACATGAGGCAATTAAGTAATGTGTCGAACACGTAATAACAAATTGAGAGACTGATATTACAAGTTGTAGTTTATAAATGCAATTTAATCCTCAATATAGGAATAGGCAAATACAGATATAGCTGTTTATATACACACATACATATGTACATACATAATCTGGGTTTCACACTAACCTGGTTATCAGGTTATTTGTTTAAAAATTATTATTTAATACATAGTGAGGTTGCTCACTCTTGTCTGGTTATCAGATTATGTGGTTATGTGGTACAATTTTTTATTCAGTTTCAAACAATACCCTGATAACCAGGCAAGTGTTTTTTTTAATGAATAAAAAACAAACCTCATAACCAGATTACCTGACAACCAGGAAGGCGTGAACACCCAGAATAATGCAATTTCGAAAGTAAAGTTAGCTAAGTGGGCTTAGGATGTACATTTGCGCTAACCTAAATAGCACACTTTTATTTTTTTAAATATTCATAATTTTTTACGTGATAACATAAACCTATAAGTCAAAGTTTCAAACTTTGTGTTCAGTTCAGGAAAATTTAACAAATTTCAAAATTTTCAACTTTATTTTCAGAATTTTTAGAAACTTATTAGGTATGCAGTTTTGTAGCTACCCACCGAGGGGTAACCGCCGTTTTAAAATTTATATTTTGCTCGTACCAGGGATCGAACCCAGGTCCTACGGGGTGATAGTTACTCTCTCGAAAACCTCAAAAGCCCTTTCTTTATTCTTCGACATCGTTCACTTTTCTGGGCCATATAAAGAGACGGGTATGATGACGGCCGCCGTAGCTGAGTGGTTAGAGGTGCAGTATGCTTTTGAAGTTTTCGAGAGAATAATTCTGCGCCAGCCCTATGGTTCCGTTTCATGATTACGCTTTCTTAGCCATGTAGTGCATGTCGGTGAACAGATTTTCCACAAGGCTACCCACGAACACAATGTAAAGGCTAAGTGCAAAAGGTCCTGTTTACACTTGGTGTGTATAGTTGACGGAACTGCGCAAAAATAAGATAGGCAATTTGGAAAGTTTTTTAGTCTCAGTCCAAACCAATAGACTGTTGTAGTGCCATGTAAGAAGAAAGAGAATTCTCTTTTTATACTCAACTGGTTATAAAGGCTTAAAATTAGTATTTTCATGGGACATGGCCGAAAAGCAAGATCATAAAAGTAATTACGAGCGTATTCCTCTTCTTTTGGTTTACTGGGTACATGCGGACTACTTACACAAACGCATGTTTTTTAGTCGGCTGTTCGTCTCGTGCGGCTAAAATTTTCAGCTGGCTATCTATCATAGTCGCAGCGCCGACAGTAGCAGTGGCAGTAGCAGCAGCGATAGAAGCCGCTGCGGCAGTGAACAGCCTGCGACCGAAAAGTTGCACGCAAAATGCGCGAGCATTCGACTACCTATAACATTGCGCGATCAACAGCCACTTTGTTTAGTCGTTGAAACGCACTCTTCGCGATCGGTACGGCAATAAATACAAATTTTAATTTCAAAAAAAAAAAAAAAAATTGTAAAATTAAATTCGAAACTGAAGTGAATTAAAATTGTAGATTATTTCTGTGTACTATGTACACACACACCCTTCCCGAAAACAGCAGTCACAATGAGTTCAAGCAAATAATAAACTAGTGCAATCTCCCGTTGTGCAAAATTTTTGGTACTGCACTCCTTGTCACCTTTATAGTTTTTCCTTGTGTTTGTTGTTCTACCTACCTATGTATGTATCTAGGCGCTAAAGGTGAGAAAGAAACGCATACAAATCGCGTGGTATCGTCGAGAAAATGCAACATCAGCGAAGGTAAAACTGCACAACATTGAAGTAGCTTACCAGAACGTGCCAGCTGCAGCTGGCTGGCTGTTGATATTGCCGGCGCTGCATAATGTACATACATACATATGTGCATACTCGTATTTATGTATGTATGTATTTTATGAAGTAAAATTCTAGACGAAGCGTGCAGTGAAATTTTTGGGGAAAAGTAGACGCCAACGCGTTCGGTCGATCGTTTAGTTTTATGTTTTGCTCCAACACACGCACATGACGAGCGGATAAAACGTCGCTGCAGAAACTACATTGTTGCATTTTTTTCGTTTTTTTGTGGGACATAAAATTATCAAAGCGTAGCCCAGATTGAAGTTCCCAACCAAAACTTTTAATTTTTTTGGGAAGCACTTCTTTTGTATCAATACAAGTCACCTCAAGACAATTTTCGCTTACCCGTTGCATTACATACATAGGTACATATGTGCATGTGTACACTATTTTGGTACAGATGGCTGTCGCTTGAAAATTTAATATTTTTTTTTTGCTCTACTTGTTAGTGGTTTGTGGGAGAATAGCTGTGATTTAGGTGGGAAGGAGAAAAGAGGCTGTGACGTCGACCAACACCAGTTGATTTGACCGCACTTGGCGCCAATCAAAAATCACAACAGCAAAGCATACGCAAACATAGAAAGAAAATAATGAAAACTCAAAAAGTGGTTCGTATTGAGCGTGAAAAGTGAAAGTGTAATCTAACTGTAGTTGATGATTGACAACAACAATTGCAATGGTAGGATCAATAAATATTAAAAGTGATAAATAAAAGAAGACACAATTAAAAAGTTTCCACCGAAATAGTAAATAAAATTAAAAACAAAAAAAATTATATCTATGCACTAAAAGTATTCGCGCTACAAAAGACATACATATGTACGTATGTATTTATGCAAGTTTTGTTCAATTGCATTGTCAAACGATGACCGTTTTGTCAACAACAGAAAAATGCTTCTTAAGTACCTACTTATTTGCATTTAAACGAAGTCTATGAAAAATAAACTAATTTGCAAAATTCGTTTGTGTTTAAAAATACATACATAAATGAATTCCACGACTTTAAGTATAAATATAAGCAAATAGAACAACTCAAAAGTACGATTTAAAAAATATATGTATATTTACATATATTAATAAGTAAAATAAAAGCGTTGTAAAAAACACAACAAAACTTTCTATACATACATTGTAAAAAACAAATAAGTAAACAAACCCAATAATGACAGCGAAATCAAAGACGGAATACGATGAAAAGACGAAGGAGACTATCAGCGAAAAGACCTTGAAAGACATACTCTCCGAACAGTTGGAACGTGTTGGCTCCGGTGGCTTATTTGTTTGGTAATTATTTTCTCTTATCTTTCCTGGTTTCTTAGTTCGCCATTAGACGAAAACAATATTGTACATATGTACAGTCATGTGAAAAATAATAAAGACACGACATTTTGACCAGTTTGGCCTATTTTTCTTTTGTTTGTTCAATTTTTTTAATAAATATACAGTTCATTATCTAACAAATATTATGTAAGCTAAATTGTCAAAAAGGGACAATATGTTATTTTTCTCATCACAATAGGGTGGTAAAAAAAAAGTTTAAAATATTGAGCTCTCATCCCCTACGATTTGTTTAAATGGAATAAAACTACACGTATTTTTTTTTTTGTTCAAAAAAAGATATTTGGGACTGCCTCAAAGTTCATAAAGTTATGGGAAAGCAATACTTTTTCGTAGAAATGGTACAGAATTCTTGAAAATCAATATTTTTCGATTGGAAAACTCTATTTCTTTTTAGGAAACTTCCGATTATAATACCCAGTTTTTTATTTTACCATTTTTTAATATTATTGATTTTTTATGGGACCCCCATTGCATTTTTTGGGGGTTTTGGGGACCTATAAAAATAGTTAACATACAAAAAAAGATTAAATTACAGACATTTAGCCGGGCCCTGGAAAATTGAGACCTCAACGAGCCTGCCTCTCCCATAAAAAGTGAGCTTAAGCTCAGAGATAATTTTTGCATGGTTGAAGTTGGCTTAAGCTCAAGAATTTGTACCGAAAATTGAATCGGAGGAACAGTTTGGTACACTTAACTTCTGACCTTCTGTGGTTCACTCTTGGAGAGATGCGCATCCTGTCAGCTAAACGAAGGCTGGGCGAAGACTAAAAGCCTAATTATGGCAACTTAACTTAACTTAACGGAACATAGAACTTAGGAAATCAAAATGAAACAGCTTCGACGTGGCATTAAGTTTCGGGTGTTCAATTATAAGCAAAATCCATTTAAGAGAATCTTTAAGTGAGAGCCAGTAAGTTGCGTTAAGTTCCCATAATCAGACCATAAGGCATAAGCAATTGCAATACCCTTCGGATATAGGGTGGATCGGAGCGATCCAATGAGCTCATTGTGCTTGCAAAGTCGCAGACGGACGATTAAGTGAAATAACCTTAGCACGTTCTATTAGGCTTCACAGCCTTCGTGAGGCTCTCTGGCATTAAAAGTAGTCGCATTCGTAATCGGCATGCGGCTATTCGGCGACTAAGTAATGGTCTTCGCTATGTGGAATCACAAAGGACAATCTCCAAGTGCGTCCCCTAACTTAATTTACAATAACATTAAATGTTAGCTATTTTAAAGTCAATCCACCTTATTTTTCTTGAGGTCATCTGGTCACACTGGCCACAGTATCAAGTTGGACTTAGGAATTTTAAAAAGAACTAGCGTCCAAAACCATTGCGCCAATTTCAAGATGTTAAAAAATCTACTTTTCAAATTGGCTAATAACATTTTGAGTGAAAATAAAGGAAAAGTAGATATGAACTATAATTAAAATTCGGCGAAAACATTTCTGCGTCCAAAGACAAATCGCTTGAAATCATTCACACTACAGGATTACTTCGATGTCATAACATAATTTACACCTTCTATCGCCCTCCTCACCCTCCGAATATCTGCTGCTAAAACTGTTAAAGCTATCCGTTAATCCGAATAAGTCGGAGTGGTGTCACCAAAGTACATACACACCTTTTTTTTACCCGTGACCCTAGACATCACAAGCGTGGGCTACTGCATATGAGTTGGGAGTGAGTATAAAGGCTCAACTGTGACTATGTAGCCAAAAGAACGACTACAGCCTATTGAACTTCAAATTGTTTCCATCACAAATACATACTTGCAAGCATATGATAATAGCTATATGTATATTGTTTAAAAATAAATTATTAAAAAGTATGTATACCGATTATTACGAAGTATTTATTAAGCAGTAATGACGACTGTCATAAAAATCACAAAAAAAACTATAAAATATGTCCGAAAAGTAAAAAATCCAATTAAAAACGTTTATAAAGTTTTATGGCCCCCTTAAGATTTGCATTGTTCGCCTATGATTTCTTTTTTTTTTCTAGGAATAGTACGAACATATTTAACAAATATAGAAATGTGAAAAAAGTAAAATTTTTAAAGACATATTAAAAAAAATTTTTCATTATAAAATTATGACCAGCTTTTGAAAATTTTATAAAACTATTATTTTTATACTTAACTGGTTCATAGTTATATTTATTATTTATTTATAGTTAAGACCGTGCACACAAAATTACACATAAATATGTATGTGTCTACGAAAATGTGCATAAATTCTTGCTTTCGATTTTGAGAAGGGTTATCGCATTTTTAGAAATTTTGTATGCGATGTTGTACTTATGTATGTTTGTATAACAGCGCATGAGCTTACAAAATCTACAATTCGAAAATATTTAAACCACAATGTCACATGCAAGTGTACTTGTAAATACACGTGCACAAATAATATAATCAAAAACAAATATGTATTTAAAAAGATCATTTAGCGAGGAAAGCAAAATTATTTTTAAAATGTTTTCGCTGCTTGCATTTGCATAGGAATGCATACATACATACATACATCATATTTATGTACACATGTATATACATACATTTACAGATATATGTACATATTTACGTCTGACCTTTTTGCATTCGTAGCAGCAATGATTGGAAAGAAAAGCCAACTTCCTGATACCGATGTTTACCCGGTCACTGAACTTAATATTTCAGAAGCTTCATTTTGGGTCAAAAAATTATTAATTTATGTTATCTCTTAATTTTGATGTTGGAGAAAAATTTTCATAATAGAATTAACCAATACATAAAGAATAAATCATATTATTAGTTGAGAAAGAACACAGAAAGACAAAAAACTTCTAATCAGGAATAAAAACATTGCTTATTTAAAAGAACATTTGGTTTGAATTAGATTATTAAGTAATTGCTGGATGAATATGGCAAAGGAAAATAATGGTCGCATGTCTTGCAGCCAGTGTTGATGTTTTAAGTATAATTGCCGTTTTTAAACCGATTAAATCGAAGATCGATTAATCGCACACTTTAGATTTTTTTTTCTAGTTCCGATTCGATTCAAAAAAGTGGACAACAAATTTTTTCTCAATTGATGCATATTGATCCACGGTTTGCTCCAGAAGATCTATAATATTTTAAGACTGGTAAAGAAAATATTCCAACTTGAGAGAGCAAAGACGAAAGAATTCAATAACTTCAGAATTCAAATATTAAAAACACCTCATAGGGTTGTTGTCTTAAACTCCTAAAAGGCTCGTAAACTTACGAAGTTAAAGAACTGTGAAAATTTAAATGAAAACAAAATAAAAATAAATAACTTTTAAGCAAAAAACAAAACCGGCTTCAATTCTCAAATGAACATTTAAGATTAACGTAAATATTTTCACGATCTAATGATCGGATTTAAACCAAATTAGTAACGCCTTTCCTGTCGGCCGCTGTGGTGTAGGCCGCGCTTCCACTCCGCAGTACCCGGGTTCAAACCCTGGTCAAAGCAACATCGCAAAAAATATAGAAAAAAAGGTTTTTTCTTAACAGCGGTCGTCCGTCGCCAGGCAATGGCAAACCTCCGAGTGTATTTCTGCCATGAAAACCAGCTTCTCATAAAAATACAATCGCCGTTCGGAGTCGGCGTAAAACTGTAGGTCCCTCCCCTCTATTAAATACTAAGTATTCTAGTATTTATTTACTTATTTTCTCAGCACAAAATACTAATTGTGAATTCGTTTCTTCCAAAAAATGTGGGCAACATTTCCATGGTGCAGAATGTGTTTGATGTTACACTCAACCCTGTCAATGGGCATGTTTTTACCTTCTAGCAACTTGTCTTGTTGACGAAATTCATAATATTTCCGTTTTGCCCTGATTTTCAGGGCAACCATATACGACAAGCTTCAAATGGCAGAGAATGCGTATATTTTTCTGTACAAGACACGGAGCACGGACTTCGAAAAAAATGAATATTGGTAGATTTTACATACAAAAAATGGTAGGAGTTGGTAAAGTTTTTAAAAGAAACAATACAGTAAGCTTTGACACAATTAGGATAAAACATGGCGAACTCATAAAAGATAAAAGATGGTGTTAATGTCAAAATCATGTATTTGTTGTAATTTTTACTGGCTTTGTGCGTAAACTTTTTTAGTGTAATTTTTGCTTTTGTACTCCTCCTGTCACCTAATAGGAATTCGCCTTTGGACACATCGTATTCCTATATACATAAATCAACAAAAAATGTGTTTCATGTTAATAAAATATTCAAGAGGAAACCTATACTTACTAGAGTTGGGCGCTTTAGTTCTTTTGAGTGAACGGTTCAGTTGTAGTTCGTTCACCTTAGTGAACTAGTTCTTTAGTTCATATAGTAGGGCTTTCTTCAGCCAAATTCTGGTGTTTTTCAATCAAATTATAAAATAGCGCGTTCTTCCAGATTCAGAAATAGGGCGTTCTTGAAAAGTTTTCTGAGATAAGGCGTTTTCGAACTGGCTGCCGAGATACATAGGTCGATCTTCCACTTAGGTGTCGATAAGGTATTTTAAAGAAGTAACACTCGTCGACGGCCAAAATTTACCAGAGACGCCGTTATGAAATTCTTATGTAAAATCACCCCCTGATTCCGAAAATCAAGGTTATTTTTAATTTTATGGTACCGTTTTTGAGATATTTGCAATTTACCGTTTTTGCAAAAAAAAAAAAAATTGGGTCCACTTAATCATATATATCTCAAGAACGAATAAAGCAATTCCAAAACGGTTTGAAGCTTTTAAAAGGTAATAAAATTTTCTATAAGCTGTGCATACAACACTTTTTGCTAGGCCCTGTAAATTCAAAGATAACGAACAATCATTACCGATTTTTAAATTATTTTTGTAAAAATATAAAAGAAATTGTACTTTGCGGGGAAGGATCTCGAAAACCTTTTATTTTTTTGCAGATTTTTTTTTTCTCCCTAAGCTCTGTTG